TAAAAAAAAAAAAAAAAAAAAAAAAAATCGACCGTTCATGTAATTCGAAATTGATTACTATCATGTATTAACATTACATAGCCAGTAATATATTTATCCGTCCACCCAATCGGCACAACGTTTCCTGCATGCAGTACACCATACCCCAGAACTTCAATGCTTCAAGGCTAATTTCTCACATATGCTGATACATATGCCGACGCACGTGCAAGTATCATTCTATAAATTCTCATACGACACAACATCGATTACCAACACTCCCACTTTATCGGACAAACTCCACGAATCTTGGGTACATCCCCTTTATTTAATTCATTAAAAAAATGACGTCACATCACATAAAACGTATCATATATTGCCATAGTCCCGTACTAAAAATGTATCAGCCTGTATTACCTGCCTGTATAAATAGATTTAAAAAATATATATCCAAGTATCCGCCTGCATGGTACGCAGGCGGTCATCCAATTAACGCCGATAGAAGACATTCGACATAAATCAGGCTTAATAACGCTAATTCGCAAGAAACGGTAAAACCGCGTTATTTCACGGTATTTCCGCAAGCTACCTCATCCAGATTGCAAAGAGGTTCGCATCGGTTGATAGGGACTACAGTGCAAGCCGCGATATTCGCCAATTAGAAGTGCGCCAAGGTGACTGCGGTAAAGATATATATTCCGGCACCGTAGATCACCAATGCCAAACCATGTAGCCATATACCTAACCCAACTTATTCCCACGTAGCGGATACGTGCGATCGCGAGCCCTCCTCCATTGGCACGATACTTTACGCGCTAACGTGTTTACCTAATTGGCAATATAGGGAAGATCAATTTTAACTTGGAATCCTAACCTATACGCGTCAGGATGCATCGCTTCGTTACGGCACACGTGTCCGCGTTGTCCTATGCATATGTCCTTAGGTAAGATAGACGTGCCGATGGACATCCTTTGCAATTCCATTGTGCGATTCTACACTGTATATAGGTATATAATAATATAGACGCTTCTACCGACCGTGCAAAAGTATTCACAGGACATTCAATTGAATTCCCAGTACATGCAAGCTGCTGGAGATTCTTTTGTAGTACGGATCAGCGATATCTTAATACATTGCTTATGTAGGTATTCATACACGTATAGATTGCAATTACAATGCGTTTAAACAGACTTGACAATTTTCTTGGTATAATATATAAATTAGATACATGTATTGATATTTATTTTTATTTCACGATATATGATTATGTATTATAAGGATATAAGTTTATGGGTTTTTGTGTAATTATTTTTTTACTTCTCGTTTATGACTGTTACTTATTTTTAACCTTATTGCTAAGTTTTAATCCAGGGTGGGTTAATGTGTTGTTTGTTGGTCTTGCGTTTGGATCGAGTCACGTTATTGGTGTCCATGGCTGTTTGATGAATATTGTATTTTTTAAGTTTATCCCTTTCTGCTTCCAGGTCGGAATAACTTTTCATGAGGTCCTGCAGAGTGTTTTTTATTTCTCTTATGGTTTTTGGAAGACTTGTCAGGAATGCTTTGTCCACACATTGCTCGACGATCGTTTCGTTTTGATCGGCGCCATATTCATGAGCTAGACACTCTTCTACGTAGGTGTCGATAGCAGCCCAATCTTTGACGAATTGGGTATAATTGCTATGCATGTACCAGATCATGTCTTTCCCACTTCTAAGGAACCAAGGATGTGAAAAAATGAGATGAGTTTCCATTTGTCTCTGCTTCCTCAACACCTCCATAGGCAGAAGCGCGTAGAACTGATTGCTGTGTATACCCAAGGTCTTTATACGGCATAACAATTCATATACTTCCAGTGTGACTTGATGCAGTCCATTCTTCCAGATATTTAGAGTTTTCAGATTTGTAAGATCCTTGATCCAGCCAGCATCCAACGACGTGATCTCGTTGTGACCCAAGCCTAATAACTTGAGAGATTAGGCAGACCTTGAAATGCTCCAGGTTCGATCTTCGTGATCTGACATTTGGTAAGATTCAATTCCAGCAGATTTCCACCGAAACGAGAAAAAGATCCTGTTGGAATTGTCGCAAGGGTGGAATCGTAGATGTTAATTCCCTTGGTTGTGTCGGGTATCGGCACCTGTTTAAAAAATGGGTAAAACTTTAATTTTGAGTTTACAACAAATTTTTAATTATTCAAAATCCTTTGACTCACGTTATCCAGACTGTTCAATCGCACGCACTCGTACCAATCCTTATCAGTGGATTGACACTCTGCCAAGGATGAGCAAATACTCGTCCCCAGAAAAAGAAGCAGCAGGAACGACTTCATGGCAGCGTCTTCTCGTCAAATGACAACTTCAATTTGTCTCCTACGTCCTTTATACGATTGCCTAAATCTGTGGGGCTTCTCAACCTGTACGCCACGGTAACTGAGTATCATACGTGCATGGTAACGCCTCAACGTGCGACAGTCTCGTCTTTGAGACCCAATTATTATTACTTTTGTTTTTATTCATGAACAATGCTTATTGAATCTATTACTTAACTTGGAATGTAGCAAATGCATGTATGGTTCGACGGCCCTCCGCTCAGGTGGCGCGCTTACTCCAAAATAAAATTGGTTTTAAGAATAGCGGCCCATTGGCAATCTCCCTACTCATCTCTGATATTACTAATTCAGGATGGGACCTCAAGGATAATGACGGTACCTACATCTTCCAAT